CTAAAATTAGTGAAGGCAAGATAAGCAGCTCGCTGTCTTTCCCTCGCTGAGAAGAGCTCAGGTCTTGGCATTTTAGATAGGGACCCACTTGAATGTTGAATGGTTAAATATTGTTTGTCTGAGCCAAGCCATATTTTCCGTAAATACAACGTCTATCAGCTCAAGGACCAGTCACACCTCCTCTTCCAACGAGAGGAGCGAAGCACTCTCTGAATAGCAAAACCAACTACAAACATTCCAGCCACAACCCAAAGCAGCTGCGACGAAGTCCCAAACCTAGCATCAACAGGTGCCGTCCCCATATGAGGTTCACCATCCTCAGCAACATCACTTTCCACAGGAGGTGTAATGGGCGCTCCAATCCATCCCTTTTTACCCACCGCAACAATCCCATCATACCAAGCATCAGCGATCAACTGATACCCCCGATCTGTCGGATGAATCCCATCAGTTGCATCGATATGTTCTTTCGTAACCCTACTCATATCAACGAGAAGCACATGCTTCCCCATCTTCGTCCGCTGGTCAATCATGTCCGGCAACGCCGCGTTGAATGCGACCTTTCTCGCTTCACGATTTGCATCTAGCAGTGGCGTCAGCGTTGCAACGAGGACGGCAGCGTCCGGACACGCGGCCCAGATCTCATCAATAACCTGGCCCAGCACGTTCGGTGCATTTTTGAGATTCATCTGGAATACCACATCGTTTGTTCCAGCCATTAGAAGGACGACGTTAGGGCGGTTGGCGTAGTTTCGCTTGCCAGTGATGCCAACTGGGCCTATGGGGAAGCCCTTGTGGCCCTCATGGTGGTTATTGTTCATGGAGCCGTCTCGCTCTTGGCCTATGTATTCCACATTATGCCTTGGGGAGAGGAGAGTGTGAAGCCGGAGACGATAGCCGTTTCCATCACTGCTCCCTTGACCATAGGTTATAGAGTCGCCGAGTGGGAGGATGCGGAGATTGACGTCGCTGGCGATGCCATTGGAATGCAGTAGGTTGGAGGGAGAGAATGATATGGGATTCGAGACTGGAGAAGTGTAACGTACATATCAGGAGGGATGGATTTGAAACAGAGATTTCGGGATAAACTCACAGCAAGCCAGGGTAAAATATGTTAGCGATATTATCCAGGCATTGTACCAATTATAGAAAGAAGACATGATAGCCACGCAGTTAAATGTTATCCTGGACAAGACATTATTATGTACGGAGTAGGCCACAAGATTATGTTTCAATCCAAAGGATCATCACATTGTTTAAAATATTTAACAAAGCAAGACATTTGAAATTGGGTATCGATTGTTAGACACCACCCTTAACGTTAAGGGGATTAGCCAGAAAAGGCATTGCGTTCAAGTCACTGTTAGCGGCTTGGCCTTCCCTGCGTGTAGTTAAAATGATGATCACAGCGGCAGCTCGAGTCATTCTAGAAACAAATTACTGTTCTCAGTGTCTGTGTTGATTGAGATATTGATAGTGGACAGATCAATGACACCAAACCAACTCCAGATCTGGAAGTTAATTGGCTTCCTTTCTCCCACACTCAGCTCAAGGTTCTCTTCAATCATCAGCTAGGAGGTTGGTTGCAGGAATACCACTCCTACCCCCCTCTCCTATGTTCAGCCCCTCTGTTTCTATGCCACTTTCGGGTGCCCTGTTCGAGTGCAATTTGCTCTCTTGGAAATACGTTAACCCAAAATCGCTGAAGGTGACATCGCCCATCATTAATCATGTTCTGAGGTGCAAGGTCTTCGTGCATAAAGACATGCTAATGGGACTCGATGTTGAAACTTGGAACCCTGTGCTGATGCGTACCGTGTTTGTCGGGCGATGAACAAAAAATGAGTCAAGAAGCTGATTCAGACCGAGATAGATTGCGGACTGCATGTGAAGGTGGTAGCCCATTGAGCCGTCATTCAACAAAAAAAAAAAAATTGGCGTTTTTGAAGGGCCAGTGGCGAAGTCGCAAACCCGCTTCATACAACATAAACACTCTCATTCGCGGTTTGATTGTTCATTTTAAGTCAGGAACTCTGGCCATAATGCAACGAGAGCTGCGGTGCCATACGTCTGTCAACCCTAGGATCCATTGAAGTTGTCCATCTTAATGTAATTTCATGTTGCAAGAAGCACGAAGAAAGTAGTTATCTCATTCATGTCCCATCAAGACGATGCGAGTCAGGCAGCAAGTTCAAACACAACCACGCAGAATTCATTACTTTTGAAATTCTGATCAGTGAGCGGTGAGCGTGATCAGACCATTTCTGTTGGATAACAATCAGATAATAATAACTCTGAATTCGCATCGATGTTTTTGCCCTCACGTTGACACAGCGGACAAATGAGTTAGGGCAAGTTTGCCACGTGACATTGGTAAATCCACACGTGACTTGGAAATATAGTAAGCTAGTCTATATGCGGTTTAGAGGAATTTCAAGCTCCAAAACTTTCATGGGCAACAAAAAAAAAGCGGAATTGGATTTTGACGGAAACAATCTCAATCCCTCTGTTTGCGACAAATTCCCTTCTATTCCTGCCCCCTGCTATATCGCCCTCGTTGCACGGTCGCGGACACTCGGTACTAGACACGGTGCGCCGTTGCTGAAGTAATGCTCTTGTGCGGGACACCCAACCCAATTTAAATCCGACCCATCGAAAATTTTGTGTGAATTTTCGACATTTAGTAGCCTGCGACTAACAGCTTCGACAATCGATTCAGGCTGCTTCCCTCCATATTTATTATTTTCTCTTTTTATTTAACGATTTAAGATATCATAAGAAATATGGGCTTTGGAGCTCCACGTGGACGGGGTGGGCCCGCCCGAGGAGGCCGAGGAGGTGCTCGTGGCGGTGGACGTGGTGGGAGAGGTGTGTATCTGAATAATTTTGTCCTTTGAAATTTGTGTGCAATTGGAATGGTGATGCCTTGGGTTTTCGTTATGCATCACCCTGTTGCACCTTTGGTTTGATCCTGTGGGTTGGAAGATCTACACAACATGATCGAAGCCGTGTGGGACTCCTTGCTAACTCCATTCTTCCACCAATACGCTAGGAGGACTGGGATTCTCAGACCGCGGTGGCCGCGGTGGTGGCCGCGGAGGAGGAGGCAGGGGGGGTGGTAGAGGAGCCTCCCGAGGCCGTGGAGGCCGTGGAGGTGGAAGGGGTGGTGCCGCAGGCGCCAAGGGCGGTGCCAAAGTTATCATTGTAGGTGCCTTTCCGTGAATTCCATGGCCCCATCGCCCCAAAATCTTGCGCGTTTGGAGTCTGCGCCATATATATGTGTGTATGGAAACTTACAAGCTATTGCGGTAAAAGGAACCCCATCGCCACCCCGGTGTTTTCGTCGCTCGTGGAGGAAAGGAAGATCTTCTGGTCACCAAGAACTTGACCCCAGGCGAATCGGTATATGGTGAAAAGCGTATCTCCGTCGAATCAAACCAACCTACCGCCAGTGGTGAAACCCCCGCTGCTACCAAGGTCGAGTACCGTGTGTGGAATCCCTTCCGCAGCAAATTGGCCGCCGGTATCCTGGGTGGTCTTGATGACATCTACATGCGCCCCGGCTTGAAAGTACTATATCTCGGTGCCGCCAGCGGAACTTCCGTCAGCCACGTCGCTGATCTGGTCGGACCCACCGGAACCGTCTACGCTGTCGAGTTCTCGCACCGCTCAGGCCGCGACCTGATCGGAATGGCTACTCACCGGACAAATGTCATCCCCATTGTCGAAGATGCCCGTCACCCACTGCGTTATCGAATGCTGGTTGGAATGGTTGATGTGATCTTTGCGGACGTTGCGCAGCCTGACCAGGCTAGAATTGTTGGTCTCAATGCCCATCTCTTCCTGAAGGCTGGTGGCGGTGTCATTGTCAGTATCAAGGCAAACTGTATCGACAGCACGGCCAAGCCAGAGGTAGTCTTCGCACGAGAAGTCCAGAAGATGAGAGAGGAAAAGATAAAACCAAAGGAACAACTCACACTAGGTTAGCAGTATTCTCCTTCTTTTCATCCCTCTCCACCCTTCCCTTGCAATGCTAACATCAAACGTACAGAACCTTTCGAGCGTGACCATTGTATAGTTGCTGGTATCTACCGGGAGTCTTGATTAATGCTGTGAATTTCCTTGGTTCTTCATGTTTCCTCTCATGTATGTTTCTTAAGTCTACGGCGTTTCAGTGCGTTCCAGATCTATGTTTGTGGGCCGCAGCGACATGTATCCTGCTCCAAGGTTTTGCTCCCCTTTCCAGTTTGATATTTTGTATTTTCCTAATTTTCCATTGGCAATTTTCGAATCAATCAAAAGATGTTGGAATTGCTTTCTTTCATGCCACCCACATCTCTCTGTTGTTGGTAGGAAATGTTATATTGCGCCATAACAGAGCCACCCAATTGATATTACTCATGACGATGGCACTGAATAAATGAAAAAGTGAAGAAACATTGACATAGCTTCCTCTGCGCGTCTATCAATCAACCAGAGTATCTCTCGAGGGCAGCTGTTTAACCTTACCAAATTTCGGCTTTCGGGACGCAAACTCCCTATGTATCTAAATAAATACAGCTGTTGATATTCAGACCTAAGTACCGTCTAACTAGGCTGCCACAGAGAATGATGAAGTATTTGTTCCAAGATTTACCCAAGCAGTGACCACCCTGTGGATGTGGGGATGAAGGCATAATATCATGTGCCGCATGCAACTCCCGATATATAACATGATGGAACGTCTAAACCTGCGGGATATAAATTCTAAACATACTTCGGAGATGTTTATGATATTGCTAGGTAGACAAGGGGTTCGAAATTTATTTCTTAAACCTAATTGACCCGAGACTTGCATTCGTTTACCTCGCACATTGACAAAACTTTACCCCTCCATCGAAGAGTGCCCATGCTCCACAAGCCCAGGGAATATTCTCCCTTCTCACAAAATCTCTTGTAACAAATAACATTTCGCACAAATAAATTAAATAAATAAAAATATAAAAATATAAAAAACCATCATGTCAACTTCAATCCTAATAAGCGGTGCGGGAGGATTTGTTGGTCAAGAGCTAACCGCCTCTCTCCTCAACACCACCGCCGCAGACACAACCTTAACAATAACCGACGTCACCTCCGCCCCCCAAATCCCCGCCAGCGCCAGGCAACACTACTCCCGCGTAACCTCAATACAAGCAGACCTAACCGTGCACTCCGTTGTCGACTCCCTCATAAACCCTTCCTCCCGCTACGATGTCGTCTACATTCTACACGGCATCATGTCCAGCGGATCCGAAGCCAATTTCGATCTAGGCATGAGTGTAAACCTGTTCGCAACACAATATATCCTCGACAGGCTGCGGAAGACAATGCCTGGTGTTAAAGTTGTATTCGCATCTTCGCTGGCAGTCTACGGGCCCACAGCGCCGGGCTTCGTAATTACTGAGTGGAATATGCCGCAGATGCCCACGTCATCATATGGGATCCAGAAGATGATTGTTGAGTTGTTAGTGAATGATTATTCAAGGCGCGGGTTCCTGGATGGACGGGCCGTAAGGTTGCCGACGGTAACGGTGCGGGCGGGAGCGCCTACGCAGGCAGCTAGTAGTTTTGCCAGCGGCATCCTGCGAGAGCCGCTGAATGGGATCAAAAGCGTATTACCTGTTAAGAAGGAGACTGAGTTGTGGATTTGCTCACCGTATACTGTTGTAAAAAATCTGATACATGCCAAGAATGTGCTGAAGGAGGCCTTTGGAGATTCGAGGTCGGTGAATTTGCCTGGGATCAAGGTATCGGTGCAGGAGATGTTGGATGTCTTGGAGAAGGTTGGTGGGAAGGAGAAGAGGGCGCTGGTGGAGGAGAGATATGATGAGGATATTGACCGAATTGTGCAAGGGTGGTCACCAAATTTTGATATTGCATGGGCAAAGACTTTGGGCTTTCACGAGGATATGTCATTGTTGGAAAGTGTAAGGATGTATGCAAATGAGTACGTTGAGTAGAGATAGGTATCTGATTTGCTCTGATACTTCTCGTTTAGAACGGAATTTGGTATAGTTAGGAAATGCAGGGCCAGGCTTTCTTGGAAAAGCAGCCTAGGATGTGCCAGAAGCATCAGGGGATACCATTCACTCATCGGCTTCAGCGATCTCTACGATCCCCTATCCTCTCAAAGGAAAATAGAAGTAAAAAAAAGGGAACGAGGAGCAAGAAACAAGTAAACTCGATGAAATATGGCCAACAGGATATGTGAGGAGGTTTGAATTGCGGGATATGGTTCTTGGTAAACGGCTGTTGCTTCTTGAGAACGTAAAGCTGACATTTGCATTTAGAATGTATGAGTGCTGTCAATCCGTTGTTGTTTTCTGCCTTGGTCCAACTCTTTGTAGTCTAGAAGCAGTTCTACCATGTCAAGATATCCCCTTGACATTGATATGCACAGTGGTATCTGTTCATCGTTATATCTCAAGTCAGGCTCGATTTCCTCACGACTTAAATGGAATGAAAATGTCTCTTTTTACACCGCATGACAGAGGAGTGACTCTCCTCCCTATATTATGAGGTTAGAGTTCACGCCCTCACAATCTAGCAAGAATCCCAGAATCTCAACTTGCAATACCAAAGTACAATCCGATGGTGATCTTGTTGCCAAACGATACGGTCAAGCCTAAACACATATAATCGGTCTCAAACTTCCCTGTGTTGATTTCTCGGGCGTTATCACTAGGTAATTAGCAATTCCTATATTGTTTCTCCAACACTCCAGATGTAGGGGTATTGGCTTCCAAAGGATTTTTGGAATACGAGTTAAAGAAGTTGCTATTTATTAGCAATCTGATGACTTCAATGTGCCCGTTGTCGGCCATAACGCATAGCGGGCCTTTTGTCCCAGTCAGACAGTGCTTCCACCATCTTCTTTCCGTACTCCCCAACCAGTTTCCATCTCATCAAGCATATCAAATCCCGAGTCAGTAACGCCAATAACGAAAGCAAAGGGTCTGGGATTCCACGTTTCTTCCATATGCAAAGTGCTATGGCTCGTTCACAAAGCGAAAGCCATCCATCACTAAAGGACGTAAAACTCACACGGAGTGTACAACTGTCCTCACAGACCCATCGCAGTCCGTCTGTCCAAGGTGTTGAGAATGCTCAGCTATGCCTTGCCGTGGGGCCGAATAGATAGATCCTGTTGACGGCAGATGATGTTGTTCGCTAACTACTGAAACCAACCAGCGAATAGGAAGCCGGCTAAATTTGGGTCATCGTGGTCATGTGACCTATCTGAAGCCCTGAATTAATTTGGCTTCGGATCTCAACTTCAACGGACTTCCCGCAGTCAGCACATCCGCGGCCCCCAAGTCCTACACCCTCCCCCATTCTCCTCCACATCTTCCATCATGGCATCCCGGCGATTGGCTTTGCACTTTAACCAGGCTTTGCGTAGCCGTGCTGCCCTGAAAGCCGTGCAGCCGGTGAAAAGAGGCTTCGCAACCCCCGTCACCCTTCCTACCACCACTGAGTCAACAACCCTATCAAATGGTTTAACGGTGAGGCATTGGCACTGACGCTGTGGGATAGATCATCACTAATAGGTCGTGCAGATTGCCACTGAGTATTCGCCATGGGCCCAGACGTCTACCGTTGGTGTGTGGATTGATGCCGGAAGCCGTGCTGAAACTGATGCGACAAATGGAACCGCGCACTTCCTCGAGCATCTTGCATTCAAGGTCAATCACGACGCATTGATCAGCTTGCTGCTGTGAGTTATTTGCTGATGGATTTATAGGGCACCAACAAGAGATCGCAGAATCAGCTAGAACTTGAAATCGAGAACATGGGTGCACACCTCAATGCCTACACGTCGGTACGTGGCAACATTTGGATGTCGCAATAGGAAGTAGTATGAACTGACGTCCCGATATCAATTATAGCGAGAAAATACTGTATACTACGCTAAGTCCTTTAACGCTGATGTTCCCAAGGCCGTCGACATCCTGTCCGATATCCTCCAGAACTCAAAACTAGAGCCAGCTGCGATTGAGAGGGAACGGGATGTCATTCTTCGGGAACAAGAGGAGGTTGACAAACAGCTGGAAGAGGTCGTATTTGACCACTTGCATGCCACTGCATTTCAGAACCAGCCGTTGGGTCGAACTATCCTTGGCCCCAAGGAAAACATCCAGACCATCAAACGTGAAAACTTGGTCGACTACATCAAGACAAATTACACGGCGGACCGCATGGTCCTCGTCGGTGCTGGCGGAATTCCCCACGACCAACTCGTAAGACTGGCTGAGCGGCAGTTTGGTTCCCTCCCCAGTCAACCACCCAACTCTGCTGCCTCTGCTCTTGCTGCCGAGCAGAAGCGCACTCCCGACTTCATCGGTTCTGAAGTCCGCCTCCGTGATGACACCATCCCTACTGCCAACATTGCCCTGGCTGTTGAGGGAGTCAGCTGGAAGGACGATGACTACTTTACCGCTCTCGTCACCCAAGCCATCGTTGGGAACTGGGATCGCTCCATGGGCAACTCTCCCTACCTGGGCAGCAAGCTAAGCCATTTCGTTGGCCACCATGGCTTGGCCAACAGCTTCATGAGTTTCTCCACCAGCTACAGTGATACTGGGTAAGTCTGCATTCTTGTTTTTCAATTCAACACAACAAAGATTCTGCAGGGCTAACGTCAATTATTTCAATGAAGTTTGTGGGGTATCTACCTGGTCTCCGAGAACCTTACTCAGCTCGATGACCTTGTCCACTTTGTCCTCCGCGAATGGTCTCGACTGTCATTCAACGTGACTGAAGCTGAGGTTGAGCGTGCGAAGGCCCAACTGAGAGCCTCCATTCTTCTGTCTCTCGACGGCACCACTGCCATTGCGGAAGACATCGGCCGCCAGATCGTCACCAGCGGACGCCGCTTGAGCCCCAAAGACGTTGAGCGTGTCATTAGCAAGATTACCGAGAAAGACGTCATGAGCTTTGCCCAGCGGAAGCTGTGGGATAAAGACATTGCCATCAGTGCTGTTGGCAGCATTGAGGGCATGCTTGACTACCAGCGTATCAGAGCGGACATGAGCCGGAACGTTTCATAAATGGTAAAATCCGAAAATTAGTGTCTGTCCCCTCTTCCAGAGCTGAAACACCTTGTTCATGTGTCTGAATATCTCCAACTTTCTGGAAGCTTGTTTGTTCTTTGTTCTCTTTTCGTTGTTCGCTGTGTTCAATGATTTGATCAATGGGGGAGAGGAAGATGTTGCCGATTTTGTACAGTATGGATATACCACTATCCGCTGATATACTCAGAAGATCAGTTTCCTTTGTTCACTAGTATGGTCATAATTCTCTGTCGTACGGAGTTTGACTAGATATAAAATAATGTATTTGTAGAAAATCATCAATAAAGCAAAACCACTCCCATAGATACCTTCCACCTCAATAGCCGCGGACTCTTTTTCCCCGCAACAATTGCAGCCACCAGTAATGAGAATGGTATTATATCTAAGCGATTGACTCTTACTCGACGGTTGTCGTGGAAAACAATTCGACAGAGAGACATTTAACATCTAATCGTGCCGCTGCGCAACCCACACCTCATGTGGGTGCGCCACACCAAAATGATAAAAACACCAAAATGATAAAAATCTTGAATCACATCCTCATTATTGCACTCTATATCAACAATCAGTAGCTAATCTATAATAAAAAGATTATGTACAGCATTCTCAGTATGTGTGCCATCTCTAAATCAATTTAATTCCTCTTCTGTCAGTGATGTGAATGAGTTATTATCAATCTTTATGAGATTAACTTCAAATCTCTATTGCTTTTTATTCTGCTCTTTTTCAACTTCATTATTCTTATACTGCTTGATTTTTCTATTGACATCTTTAATAGTAAGGACTCCCTTTACTTGAATCTAGTGACAAATTGTTTTAGCTCTGCAGTGTTTACTGATGTTGAGAAAGTTCTGTAATTTAGTAATCTATTACTCATTAAGCTCTACATAGATTAGACTTACTTTGAATATCTTGTTCAAATGATATGTCAAGATGAGTGATTTCAATTTGAGAGTATCTCTAATACTTTGTATAGTATTTTCTATAATATTAATATGATGTTTCAGCTTTTGAATTATTTTTGATAAGACTAGCTACGAAGAAGAAATATATATGTAATCTAAATCATTCTTATCTTCATAAATCTGTAGTGAAGAAAATGATAAGATTCACTACTTAAAAGTATTAAGAACTCAATCAGAATTTTATGAATATATATCATGTTGAGCTCATTCTGTAGCTATTGTATCAAATTTAAAAGTCTGCTTTCATATAGCTAAGAGGTCTTGTAGAAACTACTGTTTTTTATACTTAATAAGACTATGACATGTAGTATAGTTAACTACTTTTGAATGATAATGTTTATATTGCTGAAATGATAGACTATTTAAAGATTGTAGCAAATGAGTAACATGTAATGAAAATTTATATAAAATTATTTTATAAAGATTTATATATTGTATAAACTCTTCAGTGATATAAGATTTATAACTATTCATTAAGAGCAATTGATGACTTTTTTTTTTATCTCTTTTCTGTAGCAGTATTAAAATATTTAAGTCATTCAAATTCAATCTTATTATTTATAAATTCAGTATCTGATATAGCAATTCTATAATTGCTGATTAAATCTATCTGTGTATATCAATTCTTCAAATATGTTTTAAAAGCTAAGACTATCAATAATAGAATAATATGATTATTTATGAATATACATTCAATAATTATAATCAAATCTCTTGAAAAAAATGAAGAAATGATGAAATTAATTTATTTAAAAACAGTTATAACTCATTCTCCACATTCTTGTCCTTTCTGAAATTTAATCTCATTAAAGTTGTATGTATCACAGGTGTGAAATTAATACTACTCAAATAGAATTTAAAGATGTTCAAATTATATATTGATATATTCAATATCTTCAACTGCTACTCTCTTTAAATTCATTGACTTCTGTTTCATCCTCTTATACTCTGATAAGCATTCAATGAACCTATAAGTTCACATCTTGCTGATTTTTGAAGAAAAAGTAGTAGAATCTAAATACTGACATCTGAGTATTAAATTCATGAAATTTTCAATGTATTCAGTTGTAAGAGGACAATTCTTTTCATCAAGCAGCTTGACTCATCATTTAATCACATCCTTCTGACTCTTATTTAATCTCTTGTTAACTGGAATCTTTGCAGTATTCAGATTCCTTCTATTGATATATGTTCAAAGATGTTAATAAGGAACCTGAAATTCTCATGACAGAGGTAGTATTTTGGAATTTGAGTTTTTTTGATGGTAAGTGACAGCTTTTTGAATACAATCTTCAATATTTTTATCCTTATTTGACATTGTGGTGAGTTATTAATTGATGAAAATGATGAAGATAATGAAGATGATGAAATTGCAAGATTTCTATTGTTTTGGTGTTTTTATCGTTTTAGTGTGGCGCACCCACACGAGGTGTGGGTTGCGCAGCGGCACGATTAGAATGCAGACCCAGCCCAGTTTTACAACCAAACTAACTGGTTTAGCAAGCTGTAGGAAACCACATATCCACGACACCCGATCGCAAAGAGTTTGACCGGCGCACAATAAGGAAAATTTGTATTTAACTTTTGCCATCATTACTAATAAACAATGAGTCGATTTCTTTATCATTCTGTGGTTCCAATGCTGTTGTATAAATATGAAGCCGAGGCAGTCGTCCTGCGGCCCAACGGGTAAACAATTCCGACGCCACACAAACAACCGCAATGACTGATGTCATGATCCCACCTCCTGTTGGTCCGCAGAGAGGACAATTACTTGGAGAAGAAACAATTGTTTATTTGTCAGGCAATAGCGTTATTCTTGTGCGTATGGGTATCTTTTCCTGAAAAGATGCCTAGACATAGAGGGGCGAAGACGAAGATCTGGTCTCTTCCTTCTCTTCCTCAATTTCCGACTTTCACGGCTCTGGGTTTAAAAGGTTCACGATTTTTCCCGTCAATTGATGTTTAGAACAATAATAACCCTCTCTCCATCACACTAAACAGTTACCGAACCAACTTCTTCCCCGCCTTAAATAACAGCCCACCGGTTGTTCCAGATAGATAAGTTACACTCATTAAATCGCATTAGTACAAGAGCCCCATACTCCAATTCCACCCCCAATTGGCCCGCCTTAAACGTACAATCATGTCGTCCGAAAACAAAGCTCTCTTCTTCTCCAAACTTCCCACCGAATATCCAGTGCCGGGTGAGCACTTGACCGTCCAAACCGTTCCGTTCGACCCCTCCGCCCCAGCTCCAGACCATGGCATCACCGTCCAATCTCTCTACACCAGCTTTGATCCATACATGCGTGGCCGCATGCGCGATCCGGCAATCAAATCCTACACCCCAAGTTACGAGCTTGGCAAGCCCATCAACAGCCGCTCCATCGCCAAAGTGCTCAAGTCCAACGACAGCAAATTCAAGCCCGGCGATCTAGTGCTTGCCTTCCTGCCTATTCAGGACTATGTCGCTGTCCCCGCAGATGGCATGGAAATGGTGAGGCCGCTCGAGAACCCGATGGGCATCGAGGATATCCGGGTCTTCCTGGGTCCTCTGGGAATGCCTGGGCTGACTGCGTATTCCTCCCTGATGGAGATTGGCAAGCCGAAGAAGGGCGAGACGATTTTCATCTCTGCCGCGTCTGGTGCGGTGGGACAGGTTGTGGGCCAATTGGCGAAACATGAGGGGTTGAAGGTTATTGGCAGTGTCGGCTCGGATGCCAAGCTGGATTATATTGTGAAGGAGCTGGGCTTTGATGGCGGGTTCAACTACAAGAAGGAGAAGCCCCACGATGCGCTCAAGCGTCTTGCACCGAACGGGATTGATATCTATTATGAGAACGTTGGTGGTGAGCACCTCGATGCTGCGCTAGAGGCGCTCAATGACTGGGGCCGCATTGTGGCGTGCGGGATGATTTCGCAATATAATCTGAAGCCGGAGGATAGGTATGGGGTCAAGAATGTGTTCATGTTCGTGTCGAAGAGACTCACCATGCGGGGGTTTATTGTTGGTGATCATGGTATGGGGGATAAGTGGGCGAAGGAGCACAAGCAGAAAGTCTCTCAGTGGATTAAGGACGGGTCGTTTAAGCCAGTCACAGCTGAGACGGTGGGAATTGATAATGCAGCAAAGGGGTTGGTGGGCATCTTCCGCGGTGAAAACTTTGGGAAAGCCGTGTTGAAGTTCCAGAAGGTTTGTTGACAATTCCATCCCATCTCGCCCTCCAATATACCCCCTTCCCGCTCAACCCAACGAGATTTTATTGCTGATCAGATGTCTGATATGTTCGTGTTAGTGAGGATAGAACACTCCAGATACTAAACTTTAAAATCGGCCAGTCGAAGGGAAACCGTTGCACAAGTTTAGAGGATCGTTTCTAGGCATGGTAGAAAGGAATGGGGTTTGCCATAACTATATGATATGATGGCTGAGGATTTGATGGTGTTCTTCTATTACGAGATGTAGTTAGCTCGGTCAGTGATCCAGTATATAGCATTGCAACAAATGTACATAGTTCAATATAAAATAGTCAGACTCCATTCAAGGCATGATGTCGTTGCGGAGTTATATAACCATTCATCGAAGTAGAGGGAGTTGAACTTGATAATTCCCAATCTGGAATAAAAGCAGCAATAGAGGTTAATTTACCCAGTCCTTTCTTTCTCCACACGTTATATCCGCCCTGACTGTCAACCTTAAATCAGACATTGATCTGAAGATATACACCCATAGATAAATCATTCGTCGTTTGACATCTCAGCTCCTTTCATCTATTCCTCAGAGCAACGCTATGCCTCTTTCGTCCTGGACGAGACCCGGGTTATCTCGGCTCCGACCCCATTACTCGGCCAATCACATGACGCCTATTCTGCTGACTGATTTTTGCTAACCGACCCGAGGGACAATCCCGAGAACAAGCCCCAATGCCTTTCAACACTTCATCAGCTAATCACACACGCAACAATTCACCACAAAGCAAGTCTGCGTGTTGAAGAGGGTAGTAGCATACCCAGGAAGCCAGGACTCCTGCAATGGCATCGATCGTGCGCCCCTCAGCCTCAGCGCTGAGACACAGCTGCCGCGCCCTCTCACATCCCGCACCCAATGCTGCCCTTTATTCGACCAGGGCCACCTTATCCTCGCTTTTGAGAATTGCTTCAACACTGAGGCCTGTCCAGGTGAAGAAGAGAGATGTTGCAGCGAACGTTGCCGGCTTCCATGCGACGAGCAGCAGGAATATCCTTCCCCCACTTCCTCGTGAGTAAATTCCTGTTTCAATTGTTCTCTTTGATTGATAATAGAGGCTAATTTGGCGGTGATGTTTGTGAGTTTCAGAAACTATCAAAGGAACGAGTACGTATTAATCCCGGGTTTATTTCAACTGCCTTGCGACACCCTTCTCCTTACCTGGATCGCTGCGGGCAACGGTCAGAATGACATCATGCGGAGAATACTATTGTGTCCCAACGACCGACTACGGACTCTCTCTAGCCCTACCAATCAGCTCTCCAACATACTAATTGTCATAATAACGATATAGTGAACGATGCTGCGCCAATTCCCCCTACCTCTCCCTCCCACGGAAGCTATCACTGGACGTTCGAAAGGTGTGTTACATTCAATTTTCGGCGAAACAATTGTTGCGTATCAAACGAAATTTCACTTAACTAATGGGAGAACCGTGGAAATAGAATTATTGCTGCGTCCCTCATCCCACTAACCATCGCTCCCTTCGCTGGTGGATCCCTCAACCCGGTCATGGACGCTGTATTTTGCGGTACCATCCTTATGCATTCACATATTGGTTTCCAGTAAGTGTTTGTGTTTTGGCAGCGGTTGGATTTAATGAAGTAGTAGTTTGATAGGAAACAATGGAAAAATAACCGAGAGATTTCTTTGTGCACTACAGGGCTTGCATCGTCGATTATTTCCCCCAAGACCGCGTGCCTAAGACCAGGAAGGCATTCGAGTGGCTGCTTCGCATTATGACCCTGACAACTGCAGTTGGCCTATACGAGTTCGAGACGAACGATGTTGGTTTGACTGAGACTATCAAGCAGAGCTGGAAGGCATGATTTTTGTATTCATTAGGTTCTTTTTCCGAAGTACCTTTATGGTCAAGGGTTTTTTTATGAGTTCTTAGCTTTCCCCCTAATGTGCTTTTACTTCCATTTCTTCACATTTTGCATATTCAAATACATTATTTCCCCTCCAACCTACACGTCTACTATTTCTAGATACCAGCCTTATCCGGTTACTGTAAAAAATTTCCTTCTCTCTTTGTCATATCAGAATCAGGGCAAGCAAAATGTCATGTCTATTCTATATGTACCTTATCCATACTACTAACTGTGGATGAAATGCGCCTAAAACCCTTTTAACCGTGAATCGTGACCCAAGCGCCTTTGCTCTACTAATTTCTAACTCAGTCTTCAATATTAAACGAGAAGCACCTATATTCACGTCCCAATACCACTCCCGCTCCCATGGCCATTCATTCCTCCCCGCCCTCCTCATCCTCCAACCCTTCCCCATCCAACCGATCCTCATCATTCCCCGCCGCCACAACCTTCTCAATTAACTTCAACGTAGCCCTCAACGGCAACCCAATAACATTATCATAACTTCCCTCAATCCTCTCCACAAGAATCGAACCAAGCCCCTGCATCCCATAACCCCCCGCCTTATCCACCCCTTCCCTCGTCCGCACATACGCCAATATCAACTCATCCGAGATACTCTTATCAAATGTAACCGCCGACTCTTCCACGGCCGTCTCAAGTGCATACCCGGGATCCCGTGCGCTCTTCAACGGCACCATGGCCGCCATAGCCGTATAGACCTTGTGTTCCCCCGCATCCCTCAGCGATTTCAACATGGCGATATGCTGTGCCTCGGAGCGTGGTTTTTCCAAAATCTGCCCCCCCGAGGGATCCATGACGATCGTGTCGGCTGCTAATATCAGTGCTGGTTCGCCCTTCTCCTCATTGTCGATCTCTTGCCGGTAGACCATCTGCGCTTTCATGATGGCGGTTTGCAGGCAGTATTCGAAGGGGGAGAGGGTTTTGGAGAGGTTTTCGGGGAATGTGGAGGGGATGATTTCGATATTGGGGAGGCCGAGGTAGGAGAGGATTTGGCGGCGCCGGGGTGAGCTGGAGGCCAGTATCACGCGTTTGGAGCGCAGGTCGATGAGGGTGGGGAGGGCGAGGGCTGGGGGTCGTGGGAGCGGGGAGGGGTTCCGTCCGCTGCCAATTGCGGGGGTGGAGTCGTTGTTGGAGGGTGATTGGCCCAGTGGATTTTTTGGGGATTTTGAGTCGGACATTTTAGATATTGGATTGGTGTTGCTTTCTACCCCTCTTCTCCGTTTAGGATTTATGAATTTGTACACGTATTTTGATCGTTGAGCGGGTGGCTTAACAAGTGCGGAGGAGTGAAGTAACTGTTAGGAGGGGTAAATGGGTATTCTTTTAATTACAGGTGGTATTCGCTTAAACGGTTCGTCCCTTTCTTTTTCCCGTATAAGGATATGGCCAATTGTTGTCTGGCTTTCTGTTGATATCTACAAGAAGCCTTTTCTCCTGGTATTTCGGGTAATTTGAAACGTCTTCAGTAACTAAACCACGAGGGGGCGCTGCGATAGTTAGGTTGTATGACTAAGCCAGGGTGTCGTAACTAATTTGAAAGCCGGCATTAGGCCACTGCAAGGGATGGTTTAACGATGGACGAGAAGTTTTTATAGATGCGTTTTGAATGCCGATCTCTCATAAGTCATGCTGATCCTATAACTATGCCCATTTGCGGCCGTAGTCCGTGGATTTGGTCCATAGCTATAGATGCATATTGTTTAGTGAAGTGACACAATGCTGAAATGTCCATGTAAAGATACTCTGTCCATAATTCAGTTCAAAACCTGATGCAAACATGCTAGTTGTATATTCAATGAATGTTTCAAGATAATTACAACAATATCAAAATCAGGGGAATGTCCTCCGCAATAGTAGGTATGTACAGTACAATTAAAAAGAAAAGCGAAGGATGGCATAACACGCTGGACGAATCCACGCAGTACAAGCACACGACACTGGCTCCAGTCGAAAATAGTGAAGCCAATAACGATGCGACAGTGAGAGATAACAAAAGGACGAGCATATGATAAACAGAAGCTCCATGGAACTCAAAATGAGCTCCGCCTGTAACCAACGCCCCCAGGTGAATTAATTTAACCCATAAACCTCCTGTGTCGTGAATAAATCCAACACCCCCCTTCAAAACCGCAGACAATATATATCGGGTCCGTTATCCCCCCTTGGGCCTTGCTTAGACCAAATTTAAAGATCGCGTTCAATCCTCCAGCAAGGTTGCTAACTTACATACCCTGTCTCGAAAAAAGGCTGATGAGAATAGAAACTTGGAGGGCTCCGATCCCCTGATGGCGCACATGCCAAAGGAAGAAAAATAACAAACACATGATGCGCCGGCCTCGCCTTCTTGTGGGTTGCATGTTGCATAAGTCGCAGAGAAACGTAATTCTCGGGGTGCGGCACCATGTCTTCATGCGCTTCTTCATCCTGAGTGATCCCGAGGTCATTATCGTCATCCATGTTTCTCGTGCGAAGCAGTCGAAAGGTAACTGATTAAACGACCAGAGCATAGTCCCCAAACTCTCCAGAACCCAATGCCAACACAGTTCACCCAATTATCTATATCTATCTGTACAAAAAAGGAAGAACAACCGTTGTAGCAATTATTATTTACTTGTGTATGTGTGGGGATGGGGGGGGGGTAACCTAAACTGCAGTCATCATTCGATTTCATTTCTATCGTCGTAAACTATCATCAATATTGCCACCCCTCTTCTCAATTTCCTCCACAAGCTCCCTCCGCTCCTGCAACTTCATCCGCACGAAGTCCACAGTTTTGCGCAGGACGACTCCCTCGCTGCGTCCCTGGCCCTCGAGCCCTGGGACGAGTTCGGTAAGCCTGTCGAAGCCCTCGCGGATGGCAGCGCGGCGCTTCTGTTCCGAAGCGATGTGGTTGTTCTTCTTTTCCTGTTCTGTAAGGCGGGGTTTTTCTTTCTCTGTCGTAGACGTTGATGTTAGGAGTGGAGGAGGTGGTTGTGGAGATGCGGAAGAAGTCATAGATATAGAGGTGAGGTGGCCTTGTTTGTTCCCATTCCCGGAGGCGGGTGCCTGGACGGTAGAGGAAGAACGAGCTGAAGGGGACAGTGAGGGGTGAGAGGGAGACATTGACGCGGAGGAGGAGGACGATGACGCCTGGGAGGGTGATGCTGAGGGCATAATCTGGGTCTGATCCCGGGAGTCGAGGAGAGTAGAATACGTCGAGGGAAATATATTTGTAGCTAAATATGGATATAACGTGGCGCCCAGCAGATGAAAAAAATGGATCCGCGAGACAAGCCAGCCAGCCTGATAAATGCGCCGGGAGATATCTTAGAATTGGTCTCTAAGATAGATCCCCATCGGAGGAGTAGGTGACTGTTGGAGCATACATGTATCCCTGAGAACGGGTTGTAGGCAGAGGTCGGTAGTTATGTAGAAGATTAATTGATTAATCAATTATCAGGGAGATCGAGCTTCATTCGTCCGGCATTTGCTGGTTCTCGGGGCCTCGTCATTAGTAATGTATTAGTATGGGTTGTTTTGTCCCAAAATCCGCTGCGAGATGACGGTTTATCAAACGGTGACGGGGGATTAAAAAGCGGGGCTATAATGGCCCAAGGCTGACTGGGATACAGTAAACCCAGTAACTAACTCGTAAGATGAGCAGAAAACGACGCTTTGCTTTGTAAATAAGTTTCTTCGTTTTCTTCCTTTCTGGCCGGGCTGCCAGCCAGAGACCGAAGCCTGGTTATGATTCGAAGCCAATGTTGACGTCGATTATTCCAATCAAGAGCCCAGCAAAAGTGGAACGGGATTTGATTAGTTAGTTAACGTTAACTAAATTTTGGGCCTAGTATCTCACTGAATTTCTCTCCCTTTTTTTTTTTTTAAGTTATCTCTGGATATTTTAGCTGCTCGAATGTATGTGTATATATATAACTAACTGCCCGATGCCATTTTTCACTGAGTTATTTATCATTACATTCATTCTCCGGGTATATTAATTATTAGCGATTAGTTACTATACACTCTACCCCCTCCATCAATCCGGGTGCTTCCGTAGGAATAACTGTCTATTCAACCTCCTCCAGATAACCACATCCTCCGTACATCCACAATATCCAACATGGATCGGGACAGAACGCTTCAGGGATCCTGTTCCTGTGGTCGCAATCAGTATGTCATCAACATCCCACAGAACTCCGCAGCCCAGGCCGAGGTATACTTCGACACAAGCAGAGACCACCGTATGCCATTCCATTCCCTCCCCTTCAATATAGACAGATACATCTCAGAATCCAACTCTTTCATCTGCATGTGTAACCTAACAGAAGCATTATTATAGGGAGAAACCAAGCGGCCCCGCTGACGGCATGGCTCCGCGTGCCCCTTGACTGGTACCACTCATATACAACCTCCTACTTCCCAGATGAAACACACAGCGCCATCCGCCGTACCTTCATTCCGCCAAATGCACCACATTCCCAGCGCAATTTCTGCGGCTTCTGCGGCACGTCTATGTCATACTGGAGCGAGGATCCGCCTGAAGAAGCTGAGTTCATGTCCGTGACTATTGGCAGTTTGTTCAGCACGGATCAGGCGGCGTTGGAGGATCTGGATCTGTTGCCTGTCGACGCCGATGTTGATGTTGATACTGGTATTACTGCTGGTGCTGGTTCTGCTGCTGCTGCTCGGCCGGTTCCCTCTTCATCTTCCCCACCTACAGCAACCCAACTCACCACAAGAAGCAAAGAACCCCAGATGTCGGTCAAGCACCGGTTTGGCATCGTCAGTGGCATTCCATGGTTCGAAGAGATGATAGAGGGGAGCCGGCTGGGGAGAGTTGAAAAGACAAGACGCGGGGTCGGTTTCGGCACAGACAGATCTACGAGGGTGGAATGGGAAGTGAGCGAGTGGCATGACGATGGTTCAGGTCCTACCATGGAAGATTTGAGTGCTGGCTCCGGCTCCGGCTTTGGAGCTGACATATATTCGGCCCCCCGGCCCCCCAAGAGGAAAACTCCCGAGGTAGGTGGTCATGATGAGGGGATCTGAACCAATTGGATTCAAATGCGTGATTTTCTTCTAGATGTTTTTGACATTTTTTCGCATCTGATCTCCCTCTTGCTCTCGGCAATTACATGTGGGCTAGAATCCCGTCTATCCTGGATTGTTATTGCTGCCACTGCTATCATGAGTTGTGCTCTTTTACTGCCTGCCATTCGTTTTACTCGCTCTACACTTGACGGGTATTTCCAAATTCCCCCGCAGTTAGAAGGCGTTTCTCCCTCTTTTGAGGCGATTTCACATTCTCCATACACATCAAGTAAGGCGGAAAGGCTCACATATGTATCTATATGCAGAGGCCTGTATTTATCTTCGATTCATGAGCATTGTCCTTTCTGCATCTTCTTTAACTGGCGTTCCGAAAAAAAAAAATCGATTTATATTGCCATTTGAGGTTTAATATAAAATATTTCTCTCAATTCTTCAGCATCGGCTATATCTCCACGATACGAGTTGATATCGCTTTCTATGTACCTCTTTAATACGATATAGCAAAACAGCGATCTGGATTTGATTTTATGCCAGGTTCAGACACAGGATATATATACTAGGTGGTCTGCTTGCCCCTTCCAGGTCACTATGGCACAGATATCCCTATACCAAGTCCCACCAGCAATGTGGCTTCTCTGACCTTACGGGACCTTCTCTCTCTGCTACGACAGATCTTTGAGCATAGCACACACTTGGTCAAGCATCCTGAAGACATTCAACCTAGTCTGAAATGCCTCTGAAGTTCCCCCTTGTGCCAGTGTGTCTGCTATAACTGCATTTTGCTGAATATCATGTGCTTTTCGTGCAACGCTGTGCTCTAGTGCTTATATATTCTTCTCCTCTCTGTCTTTTTCTTTCATTCTTAACATCCATTTGCTTTCTTTATCACCACTTTAAAACACAAACATCGTCTCTGTACACTCTCTTACCTCTTGTTGGATCCCTGTTCTTCTTGAAGCTAAGACTACTCTTTGCTCTCATTCCTGATAGACTTTCGTCTCCTTTGCATGCAAGACCCGTGTCTCGCTTTGTTTCCTTTCTTCACTCCTATTTGAAAACACTCTCAACAATAGTACCCTCTTTGCAAAACGGTATTTGGAAATCTGATTGATGTTTATTTCTGGCCAGAAACGTACCCAGCGTGCCTTAAAATTCGTCCAACACGTGTACAACGTCTATAGAGAGCGCAATGGCTCTGTTACCTCGCAACGCAACCAGGACAACAAGGGGGAGGAGGACAACCGACAGGAAGATAACAACCTCTCGTTTTCTTTTCCCTCGCATCTCCCTCGAAAACATTGGACTACGAAGGCCTCCATCCCCAGTCTGTATCGTGCGCCCTCATCTACGCGCAATTCCTCCAACCAATTTGGCTCTAATTGAAAGGACTAGGGGCATGAGGTTTGCTACCGCGGTGCCAGACTCGTACATCAGACTCACCAGACAACCACCCCGCAGGCGCAGGAAAAAAGCGCGTTCGAAGAAATCTCCTCTCAAGGATCAACCATTTTCTAAACGCTGGGCTTCTGCTGCGGTAAATGCCTTTCGTCCCTTGAGTAAGCGTGAGAACGACCTTGTTCCAGCTAAAAAGGTGCGTTACCTTAACTTTTTGAAACTTGCAAATTATACCTTTTTCCCGCCCCTTTCTTGCAGAGACAACACAAAAAAACGCGTGTACCAAAAACATGCTGACAATTTTGGACAAACGCAATAAATACAATAGTTACGTCGCACTGCGAACGACACTAAGATGGGCGGAAAACGAAATCGCACACGCCAGACATCGCCATTTCCAATGCCACCGGTATGTACTCTACTATGAATCGCAATGATTCTATGCCTCCATTATTCCTTGCATTTTCAATATTTAACGACTTTCACAGGTGAGAATGTCGAGTTTACGCACAGCCAAGTCGCTTCCTATCTCCGCTGCCCACAGAAAAATGTCCGCTGAGAAACCTCTTCCCTGCCCGCCAACGGCAGATGTACCAAATCTCCCGGCTAGTCCTGGGGCCTCTAAAAGTAGCTATGAGAATATCACTGATGCACAGAGTCGCCCTCGTCGTGAATCCCAGTCGGGGAAAGCTGAAGTATCCGAGAAGTGGCCCGTTTTATCACCATCCAAAGTGCAACACTCATGGGAACCTAGTGATATCATTGAGGAGCGCAAAGGGCCCCAAGTTGCGTCAATGCTAACCGATCATGAAGCTTCTCCTATCTCGGTCATTGAAGCTATTCAACATAAGAAACAAGCCACTCCTCTCAAAACTACTACACGGCAAACTCGTCTCCGAACTCCGTCTAATTGGGCTGCTCATTCTCACCCTGAGAATACTTTTCAGGAAGGGGATCAAGGTGCTTCAGTGGAGAGGGCATTTCAAACCAATTCGCCAGTTATGAACACGATGTCACCTCCAAGCAACCAGATTTCAGTGTCACATCCACTGGAGCTTAATCCTGAGTTGACGGTTGCAACACCACCTACCGGGATGGGAGACAGCGTCACTCCTAAACCAAATCCGTTCCGCAACCGCCATAGACCAACTTCATCCCCTCAAGAGGTTTCGCCACCTGTACGACACGATAGCCTTAGGGAATTTTCGTTTGACTTTGGGTCCAATTACCAAAACGCAAAGTCTGAGCAGATTTACGGTGGTCAGAATGACGTGATTGCTGATATCCCAGGCCGTGAGGAGACTGCAAAGAGTTGTGTCACTCCCCGTAATGGATGCGGCACCTCCAGGATTCCTCGCATATCTCCACAGGTGCCAACTCCTCCTGCCACTGGAGAAGTCGCTGGGGGCCCTTCGAGCGGATTGAAGAAGCAAAAATCACCCAATCGTCGTAGCTCAATTCCTGTTCCCAGCAGAATGTTGCATGGGAAGGATAAATCGGATGGCAGTGCGCTGTTTACCATGACAAACCCTCTGAGAACCAGTGAGAATCTTGCTTCAGTTGATGCCGAAACAATATATGAAAACAAAGATCTCGGGGACGCGCGTGGTGTTGTACACCAGAACATTACTAGGGTCGATGATCCCAACGCCACCGGTAATATCGAGACATACGTTCAGAATGAGAGAGGTGAACATCCGGGATCTCCAAAATCTCAGCCTGATGAGTACAGAGTGAGGAATTTGTCTGTTCCGGGTCGTCGTGGGCTCCGGCTCCGCATTTTGCCAGAGGCTGACAGCGTCATCATGGGTATTACTGCTAATGCGCAAGCAGGGCCATCTGAGCACTTGGATGGGAAACGTGCTAAGCGTCTGTCTGGTGCAAAGAGACTGTCAGGAGACAGCATCTTCGGTAGCTTTGCTCCAAGATACCTTCTGCATTCGCAATCTAGTAATTCGTTGCATCTCTCCTCCTCGCCTTCTACACTTGCGGAGGAAAAAGCGGCCAAAGAACGAAAACTCAAAAAGGCTAGAAGCACAGATGCTGCCTACGCAAATTTGAAAAGAAGTCGTATTAGATCGGTGACTGCGCCGTTACTCCCTCACAGTCTTCCAGAACAAGTTAGAAAATTTAGCACGAATCCTTTCTACAATAATGGAATCGGAGGAACCGTGCAATCTCCTGGGATGTTCAATGATAGATATCCATATTTGAATAACGGTGACTTGGACCCTCCTCGTTACTCAGAAGCGGATGCAGGGATGAGTCAAGGATACAAGCCTTCATCTCCACTTGCTGAAAGCACAACCCTCATCGATGATAATAACGTCATTTATTCCCAGCCCAGATCCCACAAAAAGCACACGGTTCCAACCCCTCTGAACTCGCATAGCTCCGTGGACCAGTTGCTTAATAATAATAGCAACGCATCTTCCAGCGAGAACGTGGCAAGCCCAAGTCTCCGTCATCATAGTTCGTCGTTACGCTTACCTCACCATTCTACATCCCGCCAGCACTTGGTTGACCACGGAAGCCACGGCAAATCGAAACTGAAAAATATTGCACCTGATATTGTGCACCCGTCATCATCCACCGAGTCGGCACCAAAGGGTGAGACCGAGGTTCCCCGTAGGAAGCATAGGGAATCACCACCATCAAAACATCGTTCCACTTCGACAATCCAGGAGCCTTCCAAGGCCAAATCATCATCCACGAAAGGCGGTGTCTTGTCCAACTTCCGTGGCCTCTTCATGAAACAGAAGGTCGAACCCATGAATACAACTATAAGCGCAACGGCATGTACAACCGCATCCGGCTCAACGCTGACAGCTAAACGCAAAGATCTCGAACGAGTCAAGGCATCAAATAGCGGGATATTTAGTACCGGAAGTCCCATGGAACGTTCCTCTAGTCGTCGTATACGGGGACGTTCCCGCCCCAGCAAAGACGACAACATGAAGCCGAACACAACAACTTCTCTGGATGTCAGTGGGGATCATTCCCGTCAATCATCCGACGGCCTTACAGTCGCATCTCAGATGGCTCGTTCTCCAGCTCTTTCTGGGCTTAGAAATGTCAGCCATCAGTGTGTGCAGATCTTGGATTTAGCTCGCGATGAGGCAAATCATTCTAAAAAGGAGACACTTATCAAGGTATGTAGGCTTATGGGATTTACCATGTGTTTTTGCATCTTATGTTTTCCAAAACTTACAATTTTTGACGTTATCACGTTCACCCTTCTTTTCCCTGGTAAAATTCCAACACTGCCGCGCCATCTTTTTGCATTGTTGCATAATTCCAGAATATGCTAACAACGTGCCCACAAAAATAATAATAGCTCGGCACAATGCTCGTTGAAGCCGTCAACTACTCCAATGATGCTGAGCGTGCCATGTTAGCCGCTGTCCAGGCTGCCAAGGAGGCCGAAATCGCCTGTGCCCGGGCCAAGGAAAACGCCATGAGAATGGGTCAGGTTGTTCAGAGAATGGACAGAGCATGGTAAGGTGAGCTCCAGTCTTGCCTTGATAGCTTTTCTCGTGCATTATATGGATGAAGTCTCCGGGATAGACAGAGTGAACAACGAATCCCGAGGCCAATTGTTTCGCTGTACACTGCCCTGGTATATTTGAGGACTTTGCGACCGCTTTTGCCCTGGTTCCATGGCCCGAATTGAAGAGAAATCCGGCATAACCAAATTTCTCACAGATTTATCTTTTTCTCGATTTATTTCTCCAATGCTTTTTGCTATCTGATGTGCCCTCCCAGATCTTTATTAATTGCCCTTACTACGGATTTCCATGTCCTGCTTTATATTTGTGATTCCATTTTCTGTTGATTTTATCTTCGGGGAAGGGAAGATATTTCTTCTGCTTCCAGATAAAATCTCCTGTTTTATTTTTCGTGATATTTATTTCTAATGGACCAACTGTGAACCATTGGCTTTATTTTATTCCGAGAAGCGGATTTGCCAAGCGTTTTCCAGTCCTTTTTCTTTTCTTTTCCTGTTAAAGTCTATTGAGTTTTGTGTCTCATGGAAACCAAAGAACACCGGAACATGCCTCTGGAGATGACGTCCTTTGCCAATCGTCCACTTCCAGATGTTAAATTTATAATTGCTAAACTCCCGGATTAACTGGATTAGATGTTTTCTCCCTGGGTGGTTTCATTTTCCTTGCGTGCCATCTTTGCTTTAATATGTCTGTGGTGGACATTTGCTGCGATTACTGTTAAGGATTGTCTCTTCCCTGCCCGGTAAATAGCGAGATTCAACTTTAAATCGTTGTAGGTAGAATGAAAAATCGTGATTTTTTTTTTCTTTTTCTTTTTTTTTTTTTTTTTTTAAAAAAAAAAAGGATTGGAGAGCTGGGATAGAGGTGTGATAAAAATAAAGGTATAGAAGGAAGGGGTAAAGCCATAAGACTAATGTTAATCCTCACCAGCCATCTTTCTGGGAGAATAGATATGGATACTAGTTGACATGATCTGTTCTTGTTTCTTTAATCTCCTTGCTAGTTCAGACCTAGTGTGATTTTGATTATGAAAGATGATATCATCTAGGTGTTAGCCTATTACATCATTTCCTTCCTTTCAGAGGTTCATTCAGTGGGTCATTCAGTAGGTTCATTGTTAGTGATTTGTATGAATCAAGTGCAGCTGTGTCTTTGAGAGCAGCCTGTTCTGGCAGACCTCTTGTACTCGTGGTGCAAATGGCAATCTAATGATTTTGAACTTGTATAGATATGAGCAATAAAAAGCTCCTGTTTATCTCCATTCTTCACCGAGATGAAAAAGTATCTTTTCAGGAGGGATTTCGTGGTACGTTCTGTGCATACCACTGGGGAGTTTGTTAGCACCTAAAAAGTCCAGTGGCCGGGACAACACGGCATATGACATTTCGGACGGCCTTCGGTTGGATAGCGAAACCGGACAAAACCTGAACACAGAAAGGGATTAATGCTTCAGGCAGAAAAATAATGTGGATCTGTTGGGCAGCGGGCGGTTTATCAGACTTGTCATGATCGGAAAATGTTCCTCCACAAACAACAGACAATGACCTCGAAAATCTCTTCAGTTGTATTGCTCTGTCGAATAATGAATCAGGAGAAAGGTATCGCCATTGGATTTGGAGAGCCGTATCAGCTCTGCAAAATGAGTCCGTGATAACGAAATTTGATACTGAAAAGTTCAAGGATTGGCTATTGGATTATCCAATCGGAGCCTGGCCAAGCCTGATCCACGTAATATTTGTGAATAGCGAAATATTTCCTGGTTTATCATATAATCTCCAAAGAATTCGTTCTGCCATGAGCTCGTCTGCATATAAAGGAAGCTTAAGTTTGATTCTCTCATACCACTCCGGCACATGAAGGAAGTGTGGTATCCCTTTGTTATCGTCCAGTAATTGCTGTGGTGACAGGTTGCAACTCCCCAAAATTCATTGCTGTGTTTTCCAGTTGAACACCAACTCGTAAAAAGGGATGAAAACTGGCATGCGACTGAAATGGCCCGACTAGATGACTACCAATGCGGTAATCAAGAATAGCTCTGCCTTGAGCGGATGCAACTACCGCATCTTTAGGAGAGTGAAACTCTCGAAGCTGAGTTAAGATAGCCGCCATATCATTGACGATGGCGTCCTGTTCCTCGGGCTTCAACAGGCCGAGCATCCACAGAGCATCGACGTTTGTGCCTTTCATGTAATCCATCATATAGATGCTGATCCATTGCAGATGAATCGAACTCGAGGAACTGGACTAGGAGTGTGCTCTTCAACGTAGAGGAGCGCTTCAAGTTCTGGAGGGTCACAGGCCCCTTGATAACATGACTCCGTCCGACCTTAACAAGGGTTAGACCTAAAGATCCAAGGATTGACCGGATTCGATTCTAAATTGAGTGTGAAGAACGATGGTTTCCAAATCTAAATCCTCATTAAAGACGAAGGTTGGCGTCAGCTTTTGTCTGCTCAGATGATAGGGCTTGGGTTGAGCAAACCCTGGCATAAAGTCACTATTATCTGCCGCCGTCACCATTGCTCAATAGATGAGAGATAGACTTTGGAAATCGAGGGGAAAAAAAGATTTGCGGGGAGCAGAATGATATCGTGTGGCTCACTCATCGACCTCAAATTTGCCCCTGAATTCAACTACAGACCTATAGCGTTTCGGCTTGGCGTACAGTAACGTAGTCTTGACCGTAGTCCCATCATGAATTGTTTGACCCGTGTTGCTATTGGTGTATAAATGCGTGCGCTGGCCCAAAACGCCACCCTTTTCGAATACAAGGAGTTTTTCTCATACGATAGTAGTTATCTAGTTAGTTAACTATCTAGTGTTAATTAGTGCCGGAAAACATGACGTCTGCCATGGAGATGTCGCCTGTAAACGCTTGGGAGAATCGATCAATAATCGCCCCAAAAGGTCAAAAATCATCAGAGCTGCTGCAAAGTGACCAGGTCACCGAAACTTTCTCAGTTTCTAGAAGAAATTAATAGCAGTTGGGGGTTATATGTTCGGTTTCATTGGTCATACCTTGAAGAGCACGCTCAAAGTTCAAGTGATCATCGAGCACAAAGTAAAGCATGGAGAATGTTGACTGGTTATAAGCCTCAAAATGTGCGCATATTGTGCGTCCAGAGATGGGCTTATATTTCAACTTCCAATAAATATAGGGGAAATATCGGTTCATGAGGATACATATAGTTGCCGTGGAAGCTGGTTGTAGGAGAGAAAATGTATCCAATCGGATAGTTGCGCGTGATTTAGCCGATTTAGACAGCTAGGATTAGAAACAAATCTCTATTTCTGAAGTTTACTGCAAATGTAAATATGAAGCGAATGGCTTAGAAAGGATCGCCTGCTTTCTCCAAGGGGTTATCGACCTTGTCTAGACATGCCACCTGCCGGTTTTATATCAACCAGATAGTTAAAATAAATCCACAAGTGAGTGAAACAAACGAGCAAGTGAAATAGTTCCTCGCCACGCAACACAACATCAACCTGATCTATAAAAATGTCAACCACAAAAGATAGCAGTGCTTCATATAAAGAAGGAATGGTTTATCTAGCTATTGAAGCACTTAATAAACATCAGATTTCAGATGTATGAGCAGCAGAAAAGTTATACAATGACTTCACATAACTCTGTTTTTTTGATATAAATGATAATACAGCACCTATAGAGAGAGAACTTTACCAAAGAACTGAAAACTCAGTCTCACAAAGAATGAATCTTGCATTCAGTGAATTCTCCTCATCAATGAGTGTGACATTCATCTCAAATTATAACGATACAAAGTATGATCAATTTACATCCTTTTGAATAAGAAATTAAATCTAATAAATACAAAACTTTATCAATTATCATATGAAGCTAATATTAAAATTTCTCTAAAAGAATGATTATCAGTAAGTTTTATATAAAACTTTTTAAATAGTGTATAAATAAGCTAATCTCGTATGAAATTATATGAAGAAGTATAAAATACTCTTAATTAATATATATCTCTTTAATATAACTATTTTGCGTCGAGCGCTCCCTGTCGATGGGTCCTTATGTGCCCCGCAAGGCGCCCCCTATGTAACCATCGATAATCCCAATTGCTGATGTGTTACGGGGTGGTAAGGAGCCTTGCATCTTTAACTACCTTCCGTATAAATGCTATGCCTGAAATATAGAACATAGTGCCATTCTAAAGACACCATATTCCTATCTGAGAGTAGGACACATCATATCCTATTGGGCCCAGCATGTAGATAGTTAAAATAACTTAAGTGTTCAGCATGACGACTGTTGTCCTACTCCCGCCCTTCCAGCAGCCTAGAGCAAAAAAACGTATTTTCTTCATTGTCCCAATTCTAGAGCCAACAGTCCAAATCAGCACATTGTCCCGTACAGCCACAGAATGCATTTCTATCAGCTGGTTGGAGACGGAGAGTACCAAAGATCAAACGCCCTTTGTGTTCCAGGAAAAAAACATCGGAATTTACCCAACAGGGTTGAGCTTGAAAACGGACCTACGCTTAATCAATTTACTTAAAAATTTCCTGCATTCATTGAAATGTCTCTTATATTTGATGGAAGAGGAACATCTTCCAATCGCACTACACCCCAAAAGTCTCCCGAAAAGCTCTCTCCGTAAAACATCACATAACCAAGAAAGAAAGAAAAACAAACCCAACATATGATAACAATTCAGTACGGAGTATCAGCACTAAATATGATCCTGCTCAGCAAAGCAGGCACTCCGAGACGAAATGCACCTTGATAAATCTTGAAGTTGCAAGTACGAAGAACGAAATTCTTCCTGTCTGTATTGGGTGAAATCCACTTGGTCAGAATCTTTACACATAAGAATCCATTAGATATTCACTTACCAGGGCCCAATCCACGTCAAACTCTATCAACTCTCCCTACCACTCTGCATTCATGGGCTGTCGTGGTTGTCGTCATGGTACCCCCGCTTGTCAATAGACGTGATGTCCTGCTCCTGTTCAAGTTCAGGAACAGGATCAGCCATCTGCTCGAGGTCAATGGATTTCCCTGTGGAAAAATTGTCAACTCTCTTGTCCAAACAGGGATCTAAACGGGGGTCGTGGAAGATTACCAAAATTTTTGACTCCATCCCATCTCTTTCCTTTCTTAGGTTGGTCGTCGTAGTCAGAATAACTAAATTGATCTTGTCTTTTTCCTCTCTTAGGTTGGCCGTCGTAGTCAGAATAGCCAAATTGGTCCTGTCTTTTTCCTTTCGTAGGCTGGTTATTATCATGATTATTGTTACTATTACCATAACCAGAATATCCAAATTGTCTCTGTCTCTTTGTTTTCTTGAGTCTGTCATAACCCCCGTATTCAAACTGTCTCTTTCCATTCAAACGCGCCTCTTGCGCTTGAGGGGTTGTATCACGTCGGTCCTTCGCTTCTGGGGCCATGCACAGAGGATCAGAATCGATCTTTTGGGAGGCAAGACTTGCAGGGCCCAATGGGTCTCTGGCGGCAAGAATGCCATCGTCATTGATTGGAGCCCCCAGACTAGTGGTCACAATTTTGCAGAGAATTGCTAAAAGGTAAAACAGCCGCATCTTGGAGGAAGTAATTGTGGTTCGTAGGTGTGAAATACTCGTGCTTAGCTGCGGTTCTTCAGAGTGCAGATGTTATGACTGTCAGCAGGAAGGAATATTTTGGAGCAAAACTGAAAGACAAAAACACCCCAGAGGTTCATTTGGCCTAGGGTTCGTTACAAATTCTCTGGAGGACTGATTGATATCCTTCAGCCTTTTATAATATCCTATTTCTCTTTTCCCTTCCTCCATGTTTGCAAACATGATTTGAAAATTGCGACTATTGCAAGGCGCCATATCAAGATAATTAAAAAGAAAACTCCATATCTGCGTAACAACCGACTGATATAAACCGGACCGAGCTGCATAAGGGGACACAGAGAACCGGTCTGCAACCCATAGGCTGGGACGTGGGATAATGAATTATTATATCACAATTGATGTTAAGCACACGATAACCAACTTGTAGTTAATGTCTTAAAACACGTCTAACGTAACTCTTGGCATAAACTTGGGTCATGTTTTTTTGACCATAGTTATCATGAATCTCAAGCCTGATTGGTGTGAGAATCAGCCAAAATTCCGTTCGCCCATCCAGCAAATGTTGCGTGCTTCCGAGCAGTGTAACTGTATGATGATATTCTATGGAGTCGCCCTTATCATAACAAAAATCTTAGGCAAAGCTTATAAATTAGTTCTCTCGGATTTTTGTGTTTTCAAACTCCTCATATGTTCTTTAAACTGATAAGATATAATTTTGTACGGAAATAAAATAATTATAATAATGGCAATTGCACTAAATTAACGCCTTCTTCTTGTATTTGTCTGTCCTTCTGGGACGAATCAGAGTCTACCGGATTGGCTGACGGTATGTAAAGAATATGAAACAAACATTGGTATATTAATCGTTGGTCTGGGTATCTGCCCTGGAAAAGTCAGCCTTTGATGACCAGCACAGCCATGAATAAAACTTAGCTTTTCCTTATTCCCCCATTCTTAATTCAAACAGTCAACCCAAGGCACTTGCATAAGTTCCTAAAATGTTTAGAAATTGGCCTGGTTCATCTGGGTTCAGACGTATTCATCAAAATCTGGAAGACACAGACGCAGAGACGGAGGAGCAACTTCTTGCTAAAAGAAAACATTTTTCCAAACGACCAACAACAAAGGCAAAATACCTGCTCTCAGCGATAAGTGGCTTTTTCCTTGGGATCTTCGGCACTGTCTCCTATTTTTGGTTGATAAACCCTTCCGGGATTTTGCTTGGAAAGAATGCATTCCTCAAACAAATTTCATATTGGTGTAAGACAAATTTCTATGAATTCCAGCATTGGGATCGAGGCTGACGGATCCATATAGCAAAAGTGCTTGATGAGGTTGAGATATCAACAAATATCGTTATGATGAACGGGACTCTTTTCCCCCCTCCCGACCCAACGTTTGCGCGAGGAGAGCCGAGTGTGGAAAATGATGGCATTTGGCAGCTCTTCGAAAATATTCGGACACATGTCATCACGCGTGATCAGATTATCAAGCTAGGCAAAGACCCAGATACTGTCTCACGTTTTGATGATGAATACTGGGGGTTTGGGCAAAATGCATACATGGCGCAGTTGGACATATTTCATGTAAATTACTAGACAAACACTGCGGATTTTTCGTCCATCACTAATAGTAACACAGCAAATCCACTGTCTTAACAGATTGCGAAAAGCAGCTTTTGCAACATATCCCGGTTATGAGCCAACAGATATGGAGAACCCATATTCGAAGATGTGGTGGATCCATATTAGCCACTGTGTCGATATGCTGCTACAGAATATCAAGTGCTACGGAAACACCGATATGATTACGCTCGATTGGGTGGGGAATCGTGGAAAGCTTTGGCCAGACTTCAGTGTCAAACATAAATGTCGCGACTTCGACGCGATATTAAACTGGAATGTGGAGAATTCCGTTGATGAGGAGAAATTCAACCATATGCCGCTTCCTAAAGATGCGTATATCTGGCCTGAACCGTGGAACAGTGCGGAATTTGAACTTGGTCATCCTTTATCAAAGAACACTTGGAAGGAAGGGAGACAATGTCCGTAGTCCATTAAAGGTAAAGACATTATGCAAAAGTTTATGAGGGGATGAAGTTGTCAGACAGTATGAGTCAGAAATTGAGATTCCAAGGCTATTGACCAGAAGGTTTGGTTGGGATGGAGTCAAAGTAAGCTTAAATACAGTTCTGTAATAAAATTAAGGTTTAGTTAGCGCCCGCGGAGTTTCCAGAAAACTTAAAATAGCTCCACCAACAATTAACAGCAGAGATTCGGAGACAAGGGACGGGAAAGGGAAATATTCTGGAGATATACCAGAAAAAAATGGATTGGAATTGGGAGTTTTTAGAGCTAGGTGATAAGCACTCGAGTGGCATGTCACTAACAATTTAGTGTCACGAGTATCATATCGCTTGTATGACTCAGATCCACCGCTGCGGCCGTATCGCTCGTATGACTCGCTTATGACTCACGTACGCCTGCACACACTTATATATCTTTCATTCTTTTCTCACTGTTTTTGCTATTCTTTTGAGAGATAGTCATCATATAGATTAGCTAGTTATTACGAATACAACTATCTTATGCCTGCTACGTTCTGACTCTCGTCATACTTAGTCCTTGGATCCCAGGAACGGTTTGAAGGGAAAGTCTGCCCAGCCCTACTAGTTATTTGAGACTTGTAGATCTATCAATAAATCATATCTATTCACTCAGATCTCTGACCAAAGATACCACCTTCAAGCATCTGTTTAAACTTTATATGGACACAACACATGGCATCCTTGAATACATCAAAGCTGACTTCCTTTCCCCGTAACAATTTCTCACGAAAAAGAAGTAATCACTAGAGATGCATTAATTTTTCATTTTTCTAATTATAAAAACTCCGCAACTGAACAATTATCTTTCACTTCTAAGGGATCCCCCTGTATAAAATCGTCCGCTCAAACCCATCTCTATTTAGGCATCTTCTCAATTCCAACACCTACCTAGAGAGATTCATACGTCATCGCAATTTTCCTAACTTCCGCTTGAGAAAAGACGAATTTATCGCAGAACTCCGGCGAGTTCATAGAGCAAAGCCAAAAAAAGGGGGGGGAATACATCAGGCATGTGAGTCCTCATTCCGCATATATGAATATGTATATACATTCTGTCATAAAAATAATACAAGCTTCTCCACTCCAGCCGACCTATCCCTTTGTACGAACTTTAAGGGGATGAGCTTCAGTGTTGAAGACAAATTTATTCTTCCCCTCGCGAGCCACTTGCCAACTGGCTTCTATGTACGCCATTTGGCAATTAGCGAACGAACACAAAGAAAAATACGGAGAAAAGGGTACAAGAATGGAATTTAGAGGAAGAGGAATTTGTTGAATTGAAATAGGTGCACATAACTTACCGGGTGCAAATGTCATGTACGCATATTTCATCACCTCAGCGAAAAGGAAGCTTTCTTGGAAATTCTTCTTTTTCCTACCATCAAGAGTATTTACATTAGAGATGGCAGAAAAGCCGGAATCCGTTCGACATGTCCTGACAAGGGCTTCGAACGCCTCCCACACCCAGTCCTGATACTGTTGTCATTGTTCAAGTTAGCTAGCTGAAAACTATTTCAAACGTACCGCAGGGAGAAACATCCGGGAAGCAAAGGGTATTTACCTTGATGTCGCCAGTTATCCTGTAGGCATGATAATAACTCTCAATGACCTCTGGCCTCAGGTTATAGTCCTTGCTAGTAATGAAGAATCCATTCTTAATATAGAATGACCTTTGACCTTTGGGTACTCTCGACTTATCCCAACTGAATCCCTCTGGGCCAATTTTCGTAGCCGTGGAACTATACGTATGACGACATCCTTTGACAAGATCTAATCCAAATTTGACAAAATCCTGACGGTTAAGGACTTGCCCCCCGAGAAGAAAATTGCCACCGTTAAAACAAGCCAAATGTTGAGAACTGGAACCAAGTTTCTTGTTGCTGTACGGAGCTAGGAAGGTAAATTCGGGACGCAAAGGTAGCAAAACTTTCAAATGCTTGATCGACGATTCAATTGCAAGAACCCATCTAAATTCTCGAATATTAGCTACGAATGTTACCTGATGTGTAAAATATGAGATGGAACGGGGTGGGGATTATTACCTATCTCGATAAGTTTTAAACCGGGACTCGTCATAAATAAACATTTTTATTAAGTATTCATAAAATGAATCGGAACCTGCACCCCAGCTGATATCAGAATTCAAGAAATGACCTGTGGTAGTGTTTAACTCTGATCCAATGAGGCCAGGGAATGGCTCAGCTCCCGCAGTTTTCGGTTTAAGAAGGTATGATTCTCCCTTCTCGGCGAGTCTCCCATATTCTGGATCCCCTGTAAGGTCCGACAAGTGCATCCCTACTAAGAGGTTAATATGACATAGATGAAGAGGGACTCGAGATCACTCACATTCGAGTATAAGAGTTCCAATAGTTGCAATTCCATTGGAAGTCCCACCATCCTATCTCCTAGTCAGATACTTTGCTTTCCGTCAACTATATGTAGCAGGATTGAATGCTTGTTCAGGAAACATGCAATCAATCCTCAAAAGAAGCAAGCGGCAAAATCAGATCTTACTGTCAGCTGGTCGCCAATGATCAGATTGTTGGAGGGTATGCCGCTTGGGGTATTAAAAGCGTATTTCAAGACGTCTGCCAACTTTTTGGATTGAGTTAAGAGTGCTTTGATATGATCCGGCTATGAGCAACTGGTCAGCGCAGTAATATATCAGTGCGTGGTTAATATTCACATTTTGGCCCATATTATTTTCACTCAACAAATCATATCCAGAAAGCATTCCTCCCAGATAGCGGATCGTCGTCTCAAATAAATTCACGCCAGAATTTGTCTTCGAGTAGTCGATTTTCGAGATATGCTCCAAGATAGTCTTGACGATTTCAGGACTGTCCATTATAATTGCAGTAGAAAGGGCATCAACAGCTGTGGCACCCCAACCATTTCTGTTAAAATCGTCAGTTTCCGTTCTGCTGTTTCTGAAAATGCCTGTAAGGAATCAACCCACCGAGAGTCACTGGGAGTATTTGAAACGGGCCGTAGTTCATCGTGGGGAAATGCATGTTTCATATAGCCGCTCCAAGCAAACTCAAAGGCCTCCTTAACAGCTTTAGCTCTTTTGGAGTTTGGTGCACGTTTTTCCAAGGGGCCATACTTGTCGTCCGGTAAAAGTGGGAAAGAGATCGTAAAAGGGACCAACGAGAGAGCTGTCAGAGCGAACCCAAAAAACCGCCGCATTTCGAAGGATAAGATACAGAGACAGAAGATGCGACAGCGAGTCCTAAAAAAAAGATATTAAAAATCACAATAAAAAACAAATACCTTAAATGAAGAGAAAAAAAAAAGTTCAGGGGGAACGTTCTCTTCGAAACAACCAGGAAGGAACAAACATCAGCGACCCGCCAGTTATGTATAAAACGAAATTCTGCCAAACGCAGAAAAGAATCAAACGGAGGTAAAATTACAGTAATGACTGCATGACTTTTGGTTTGATTACTCCCTATTTCAACACAGCTTAAGCCCATTGAATCCAAAACCAGAATAAACTGGCCCGGCCTCTGGATGATCATGGTCAGCAATTCGACGCTGCTCACATCATCCTGGGCTTACCATGTTAGCAGCATGATAGGGCAAGGATCGCTCTTCTCAAAGAAATCTGAGGCTAAAGGATTTCATGGGCCATCTATTTTGGGCGACGAATCGGGGTGCCTGCTGACGGCCGATCATGACCATCGTCGGTAGGAAACCACCCAGCCCTTGGGAGATTAACCTGCAGGTGATCTTGTGAAGCCACAGAGCTCCTACAGACGTCGACTTCACTCTTCGAGCAACAATGCATCATGTAGCGCGTGTGGACGGGGTTTAAAATGGTTGCACGCATGAACCTGGAAGTTCCAAGTCTCGTCTTTTCAGGGGTAGATCACGTGAATATGCTTGCCCTAGAGAGTCTAACTAACCAAGAATCGTAACTTTGGAAACCAAAATAAAACGTCCTCTGCTTAAAATACTCTTCTTATTTCAACACAGTTTCTGCGACAAGACAAAACCACTGTACGTCCGGTAAGCCGATGATAATTTTCCTCTGGGTAGAGTTGTTAACTGGTGGATTTTGAAGTCAATCCAAACTGAGGAAAATGGTTGCTCTTCGCAAGTATCATCGTAATGGTTTGACATACAAACTAACCATGCCTTTCAACACTCTGTCTTTCCGGGCCTTGATATCAAGATGCTGGATACTCCGGGGGAGGATGTCACCCCCAGAGAAGAGAGGGTCGCATGACGCATTTTGTTGTTGGGGTATCATGATCTCAACTCCTGTGCTTTTGTTCGTCCAACAAGCAGCATGTCATAAGTGGGATTCATTATTGACCCCCAAACCAACACTCCGAAGCTTGCTATTGTCATCCCGGCCCACCTAATAGCTTCATCTGGTACGGGGCAGTCTTTCTGAGCACTTAAAGAAATGTGAACACTCAGCTTCAGACCATGCCCGATGATCAGCGAGATCACGAAGCAGGGTAGAAGCAGAACGTTGCATCTCAATGGGGGAGAAAGAAATTAATGATAGTCAGGCCTTGCTGCGGCATGCAACTTCGCGTTCCACAGGCAAAGTGTCAGGCGTCGGCACCACGGGGCAACAAACACAGCTCTCGTTTCTTCTCATGGAGAAATTTATGATTCTTTCCATGGATCTTCTATTGCCAACATTAACCCAGGGAAATATCAATCATGTGGAATCAGGTTCCTTTCTTGAAGATCTAGTTATGCGAAGTGATGGAGATTATCGTTTTCTCGCCAAGGCTGAGCTGCAGGGCTAATTTTTTGTTAAAGACGCCCACCACAGATGACCAAGCCCACCAAAGCTTGCCCAAAGCCCCCCATTCATTATATTGGGTAGCGGAAGCCCACGAATCCAGTGTTGCTCCGCTTCTCCTTCGTTTCTTATCCCCGCACCGTTGGAACTTTTGGGAGCCTAAGGTTTACAAAATATCCCTTTCTGAAGTAAATTGCTATGCATTCACTAATGAAAAGAAATAGATTTCAGTCCTTTTGTGGAAAGTTGTATATATGTTTTCCTCATTTCCCGTGACATACTGTATCGAATATTTGCCGATTGCCTAAGCACCCTGACGATAGGCTCCAGAGTGCATTGGAACACTTCATCAGCCAGCATCCCACCATGACCATCGCGCAGAGCTTGTAGGGCGCTATCAATTAGGTTTCCAGTATTAGTGCCCCGTATATAGAGGAAATTTGACGAAGTTGGCTCTGCCAGTTGCAGCCAGAAAATAAGTAGAAAGATATGTAATTCAATCTGTGTTTGTCTTGACATTTATGTACGTGGTTTTGGTCGAGATACATGGGTTATTGTCACTTGAATCATGCCCTGCTGAGTAAGTCGACACACTGTTTGGCCCACGTACAGAGACGATCTATAAAATCAATATTGTAAACGGGACCATGGATCAAGATATGGATTTAACTTCTGAAGAAAAATTAATAACTGTCAAATAGCTTGGTAACTACTGAGCAAGGATCTCAAGCGCTTAAATCCCATCCAGTTGCTGTTCCTTAGGGATGCCTACAACGTCTGGTTGCGGCTTGCTGTATGATGAAACATAGTATCTGGCACGGCATTTTAACCACGACTAACAGCGGTTCCGGAGGATTGAATAACAGCGCAAGAACACTGATCTGATATGGCGTTGTTGGGTCGATTGGAAGATTTTTAAGGGAAGAAGAAACCGGAATTGTGGGGCACAACTTCAACTATGTACGGTTACGCTGCATTAAGGTTGTGGATACCTCGGCAGTTACCGATCGCAGTCAAACCTTGACGGACATGTCACATGACAGGTGTTAGTCATCTCCTCCGCTGTATCCCCGCTTTCTTCCCGCAATTTTCCCTGCTCGGAATTCCCTCCTTTTCCTTGACAACTGCACATAAGATCAACAACAACTCCCCAGGGCGCTCCCTGAGGATCCAACACTCTCTCCCACCAACTGAGTTTCCTCCCTTTTAGCAATTGACGTTGCTGTCCCCATATGAGTCAATCAAGCGTGACGACAACAGGAAAGAAAATTTAAAAATGGGGATCCCATTCCTCGTCTCTGTCGATCCGCAGACTCTCTCTTCCACCTCTCCCGCTGCACATCTCACTATCAAACAGATTTCCTACTTCGGTCGCGTTCTTTTGAAATCCTCCAGTTTAAGCCAAGTTATCTCCTTCGTTAAACAATTCTCCTCGCTCCTGGATATCTATGCAGACGCAACGACAATCGATTCTGCCGGCGATGTTCTTGATATTCTCAATTCGGGCGCATCTAAAGTGCTGGTTACACCAACCCAATTGACCACATTAACAGGAGAACAGGCGGTTCCTTCGTCGAGGTTAATCATTTCCGTTTCGTCCGCGATCGGGGCTGGCGGATTGCAGAGTTGGATCGCAGAGGATGACGAGAGGAAGAATATCGGTCTGCATTGTGTGGTTTCTTCGGTTGTCGATGACGTTGTGGAGGAACTAGTTGAGAGGGGGTTTGTCAAGGAGGTTTATCTTTCATATGATGGAGCTGAGGCTGTGACAAAGGCAGCTTTGAACTCGAGTCAGAAGGAGAATGTCGTGACAGTTATCCCTTCGATTGCTCTATCCCTTGATAACGGCGATGCCTCTCCTGCAAAACTACTGGTTGCAGGTGCCACTGCAGACCAGACTACGGGTCTCTACACTACCGTGGTGACAGATGAAAGAGGGGTTGCGCTGGGTCTGGTTTATAGCAGTGAGCATAGTATTTCTGAGGCGCTGAAAACCGGAACTGGTGTTTACCAGAGCAGGAAGCGTGGCCTCTGGCATAAGGGCCAATCTAGTGGAGATACGCAGGAACTGGTCCGAGTTGACTTCGATTGTGACAGTGACTGCTTACTCTTCGTTGTCAAACAGAAAGGGAGAGGTATGCTACTGCTTTTTATTTTCATTTCTCTATTACTTCGGTCGGCTCTCTTTTACTCTTTAGCTAACTGAGAATATATTTCCAGGATTCTGTCATTTGGGAACTGCAAGCTGCTTCGGCCAATATAGAGGGTTATCACGTCTTCAGAAGACTCTGCAATCTCGCAAGGAAAATGCTCCACCCGGTTCGTACACTGCTAGGCTTTTCAACGACCCAAAGTTCGTCCAGGCGAAAATCATGGAGGAGGCGGAGGAGCTGTGCAATGCGAAATCGAAGGAGGAGGTAGCTTTTGAAGCTGCTGACCTGCTGTATTTTGCTCTTACCAGGTGTATCGCTGCGGGTGTTTCTCTGGAGGATGTCGAAAGGAATTTGGACCTGAAAAGTCTGCAGGTGAAGCGGAGGCAGGGCGATGCTAAACAGGGCTGGGCCAAGAAAGTCGGCCTTGAGTCAACAAAAGAGGAACAGAAGAATAAAGTTGAACCCACAAACGCTAATGACGTTAACCGCAAGATCGAGATGCGGCGCGTTGTGACTGCAACAGCATCCCAGGATACGTTGGAGGAGGCTCTGAAACGTCCTTCTCAGAAATCTAACGATGCGATCGTGGCTCTTGTTAAACCAATCATCGAGGACATCCGGAAGAACGGGGACGCAGCCGTTCTGAAGTACACTCACAAGTTTGAGAAAGCGACTTCCCTTACCTCACCGGTCATCAAGGCGCCATTCCCTGCAAACTTGATGCAAGTTACCCCTGAGACAGCCAATGCCATTAATATTAGCTTTGAAAACATCCGCAACTTCCACGCTGCGCAAAAGGATGACAAGCCACTGCACGTCGAGACCATGCCCGGTGTTGTGTGCTCTCGATTTTCCCGGGTCATCGAAAGAGTGGGCCTATACGTCCCTGGCGGAACAGCGGTCCTCCCATCCACAGCAATGATGCTTGGTGTCCCTGCCATGGTAGCTGGATGCAAGAAGATTGTCCTTGCCTCCCCACCACGATCCGATGGCAGCATCTCCCCCGAAATCGTCTACATCGCACACAAAGTCGGAGCGGAGAGCATCGTACTGGCCGGAGGCGCACAGGCAGTCGCAGCCATGGCATATGGCACTGAGAGCATCAGCAAGGTCGACAAGATCCTCGGGCCAGGAAACCAGTTCGTAACGGCTGCAAAAATGCTCGTGTCAAACGACACATCAGCCGGAGTTAGCATCGACATGCCCGCAGGCCCTAGTGAAGTTCTTGTTGTCGCTGATAAGAATGCTAACCCAGCATTTGTCGCGTCTGACCTGCTCAGTCAGGCTGAACATGGTGTCGACTCGCAGGTTATCCTGGTCGCTGTCGATCTGGATGACAGCCATCTGAAAGCCATTGAGGAGGAGTTGCATGCACAGGCTATGGCGCTGCCACGTGTGGATATCGTGCGTGGCGCGATTGACCACTCCGTCACCTTTGTCGTCAAGGACATCGATGAGGCCATCGCGCTGAGCAACCGCTATGCGCCCGAGCATCTCATTTTGCAGGTGAAGAATGCGGCTGATGTTGTTCCTCTGGTCCAAAATGCCGGAAGTGTCTTTATCGGTGAATGGACTCCGGAAAGCGTGGGCGATTACTCTGCTGGTGTTAATCATTCTCTACGTGAGTTACCCTCCCCGCCTCCTTTCTAGTGCTACAAATTATAATCGACCGTCCCCAAAACTAACCTTTTCCCCAATCCAGCAACCTACGGCTACGCTAAGCAATACTCCGGCGTCAACCTCGCCTCGTTCGTCAAACACATCACCAGCTCCAATCTCACTGCTGAGGGACTGCGCAACGTGGGTGGGGCAGTTATGGAGCTGGCGTCTGTGGAAGGGCTGGATGCCCATCGCCGCGCTGTCAGCATTCGCCTCGATCACATGGATCGTTCTAGGAAGTGAAGGCCTTTGCTACGCTATCCGTGTTGTAGTAGCTGATGAAGAGATGAGAAGTGATGCGCGAGGATGGAATATTTATTCTCTTTTCTTCGTTTCGCGAACTTCTCTATCTCATGTACCTTTTTTTTTCACCTTTTCGACCTTGGTGTGTTTTTGTTTTCGTTTCCTTACGGATAATTCTATTCACCCGTTTTCGGGTTATTTGATGAGGACCGTTAGTTTAGCTATAGGGATTAGAAGGACCCACGCGGGGAAGGGGATACTAAAAGTTTGAAAAGAGGATCAAAACGGGAAAGGAATTATTAAGACAGACACCGGATAAAGTCAATGAATGCTGAACTAGGATATAGAAGTGTTGATGAAGGAATGACTATTTTAGTTATAACGGCTGTGAAATGAAAATTTTACAGAACTCATGAGCATGCTGTTCCCACCCCAGCAATTTTGATGCTCTAAACAGACCCATTTCAACTGCTTGAGCAATTCCAGCGCATCCATCGATATTCTCCGTAGGAACTGAGCACAGTGAAAAGCAACTCCGCTTGTAAGGGGTGAACGATCACGTTCATGTTCGGCAGTAACTTAATTAGCGTTCCATGTTAGGGGAACCTCGGGAACTTCAAGCACCGCAAGACCCGCTACAACTACAGCAAAGACTGAGAGGAATGCGTACAGATAGGTCAAGCAGTGTTGTTATTATCATTCTATTCTTTTCCTCCAGACCAGTGCTTCTAAAGACCCTTCCTTTCTTCCTTTGTTGACGGATATGTGTAATCTCAGATTAACGGGATCCTGCCTCTGGTTGCGTAGTAACTAGCTCAGAAAGGCTCTGACTACTGCACTAAATAGCTGTCCTGGATTGAATTTCAAGCATTCAACACCGTCTACGCGAACAGACAAAGTCGAAAAAGAAGGAAAATTGAACAGTATAATAGTAGTAAAGAGGAGAAATGAAGCCCCAAGGCCGTACATTCATTATATCAGGCGGGTAAGAAATCAATTCCCCGATGATATTTCACCGCAATCCCCCAGCTCTAGATATCTAAACAGCATCCCATCCCTCCAAAGTCCAATTCAAAACAAACAATAGAGATCTAACATGACAAAACAATCCCCAGGTCCTCCGGCCTCGGTCTCGCAACCGCCACGGCTCTCCTCGCCCAAGGCGCCAACGTGTCCCTCCTCGACATCAACCCTCCACCCCCAACCTCCCCTCCTTTACTCACAAACCCGACCCGCACCCTCTACACGCGCACAGATGTCTCCAACACCGCAAGCCTCCAGCACGCCATCGACGCCACCGTCACCTGGATTTCGACTTCCACGCACGCTGACCTGGGTGGCGTCGTTTGCTGCGCGGGTATTGGATATGGCGAGCGTGCATTGCCGCGGCAAGATCCCGATGGTACTACCCCTGGCGGCAAAAAGATAGTCAAGACAATGTCCATAGAGGCATTTGACCGGGTCATCGCGATCAACCTGCGTGGTACGGTGGACCTGATACGGCTTGCCCTGCCACACATGGCTGCCGTGGAAGGGGAAGGGGATGACGAGGAGCGGGGTATTGTTGTGGTTGTGTCGAGCTTGGCGGCATATGAAGGGCAGGTTGGTCAGCTGGCGTATTCGGCCAGTAAGGCGGCTGTTGCGGGGATTGTGTTGCCGCTGGCCAGGGAGGTAGGGAGGTCAGCAGGAGTTAGGGTTGTGGGTGTTGCGCCGGGGGTGTTTCAGACGGGGATGACGACGAGGCCGAGGAAGGCGGTGTCGGGTGGTGAGGGGGTTGAGAAGAGGAGGGCTGGAGTTGCGGAGAGGAGTGGGTTTAATTCAGGGATGATTGAGTATCCGATGCGGATTGGGAGGCCGGAGGAGTTTGCGGAGTTTGTGTTGGCGTGTGTGAGGAATGGGATGGTTAATGGGAGTGTGTTTAGGTTGGATGGAGCCGTCAGGATGCCTAGCAGACTATAAGTCCTCGGAGGGAAGGGATTGGTGGAGGGTAGAAGGGAATCTTTTTTGATATGTGTATATATTTGATGTTGTTGGTGTATATACTGGGGGGTTGGGCTTTTGAAGAGACGACGGTGTTGCTAAACTGTTCATCCATTCCTTGCCTCACTTTTCATAATTATCACGTATAGATCGCCGTATTTGCGCCTGATGTAAATAAACCTATCTTTTTCGTTTAAAACCTTCAGTAAGATATCTCCGCATTAAAATCAAACCAGAACAAAGGCATATAGAAAATAAAAAAGGATACCCTCATTTCTTCCGTTCCCTAATCTTCCATTTGATGCCATACTTATTAACACCTCCAACTGAATTCTCCATCTTTGCCCGTTGTCGATCCAGCTCCTGCTCCGCCGCAACGAGCTCCTTATGCTGCATCCGCAGCGCCTCCAGTTTCTTGCTCCGGACCTCAGCTGCTCTTTTCTTCAACCTTCTTGCCGCCAAAATCTCCTTTCTAGCCCGTTCCTCCGCTTCTATTTGCTTCTTAGATTTCTGCGCTTGTCTCTGCTTCTCTCCAGACGACTGCTCCCCTTCTTCATCCCCATCCCTATCCTCATCCCGATCGCCATTCTCCCTGCCCTTCTCCTCCTTTAGCCGCTTCTGCTCCTGCAACGAATCCGCAAAAATAATCTTCGCCCCCTTCGCGCCCTCAAACACCCCACTTATCCCATCCTGTAACCTAACCTCCTGCTCCACCCTTTCCAACTGCCTCCGCACTCTCTCGCCAACAACCCGAAGATACCCTGCGTCCTGCGTCTTGAGCAATTTAATCGCCTCATGGCCAAGATTTGCAGCAGTCTCTGAACCTCTGACGCCATGTCGGCCCTGTGTCTTGGTTTTGTCGGACATCATACCGAACGCAAATTCGTCTGGGTTGCGGTCTCGTGCTTTCTCACGCAGGCGCTGTAGTTTCGCCTTTTTGACGTTGTAGTCGCGGGCGCGGAGGGAATAGTCCTTCAACAATGAGAGGATTTCATTAGCTTATTATCTGCCTTTTTTTTTTTTTTTTTTTTTTTTGGGGGGGGGGGGGGGGGGGGGGAGAGTTTGTTCTTAGGTTGCGTGTAGGATTGCCATCGAGCGAGGGACCTCCAATTTTGAGACTCCTTAAACAGATAACTGAACTTGTGAAAATCTACCTTGTGTTTCTCGAGAATGCCCCATTTCTCTCGGCCGCTGGGCTGAGCCCGCTCCCGATGTACCCGCCGTTGAACGGCATTCCGCATGGAAGACATGATGATGGTGGTGGTCACGGACTTTGCGAGACCAGATCGCGGAGATTGATGTTGATGGGGGAAAAGAGAACTAAATATATGCGAAGGAAGCCACTACGGCAACCCGGAATTAATATTTAATAGGTTCTTTGCATCCCTCCTAACCAAACACCAGACAAGACGTTGAGATATATATGCGTGGTGTGTGTATTGTGTGTATTTTCTTTTTTATCAAAGGTTGGTTCTTCACCATTTTTGGTTTGGGGGCAGCAAAGGCTTCCCGCCCGCGAACCCAATCAACCTCGATACAGCGACACCGCGCAATTAAATATTAAATATCGTGAAAAACATCCCCCATAAACGCCCTCTAACAGAGAACCGCGTTCTTAAATATCTCCGCACTGCATAGGCTCATGATGCATTGAGACAGACCATTCGAAAACCCAAAATCACCCACACACAATATTTATTTGGACGGGCGACTTCGTCTCGTCCTCTTTCAGTCCCTGACACAATGGTTGCAAGCACAACAACGTCCACAGACACCGCCACCACAACTCCGCCAACCCCCGCCTCTCAACCATCGCCTCCAAACATTAATATACGGAATCCCCTACCTCTATCAGCTTCGCAGGAAGCGCAAGTCAGAGATCTATACTATAAGCGGGTAAGGGGCTATTGCGCGGCAGAGATCAAAGGTGAGATTGTGTCATTTTATCTCTATGAAAGAATAAGAGGATATGATTTATTTATCAACTATTTGGTCACTGTGACGGTAATAATGGCTATGGCGATTTATTCAATTGTATTATTCTCTACTGTTACTGCACCCCGCGTGCTTGTTGTGTCCATTCAGACCGTGCGCATTGCTACTCAATCCCATCCCCTCTCGCTCTCCATCTTAAAAACCTCCCATATCCCAATCAATACATCTAACCAAGCCCCTCCGACCCCCAGAATTTGCTGCCTGCGCCATAAACCGCACCATAACCGCAACATGGGTATGTCGCAAGCAGCGCCTTGCCATGAACGCCTGCATGGTTGAGCACGCCAAGCCCGAAGAGGAGGATCGCGCTCGCGAAGAGTGGTTTGCCGGTCGTGAGGAGCGGAGGAGAGCTCGCGAGTTGCAGAGTAAGAAGATTGAGGAGCAGCGGAGGGAGGTTTTGCAGATGATGAGGGATGATGAGGAGAGGAGGAGAGAGGCGACGGCTGAAGGGGCGGCGGCTAATGGGAAAGGGAAAGGGTGGTTTGGATAGGGATGGTTTTTGTGGTGGGTTATATATTTAATATATACACATCTGTACAGGGTTTGTTTTTAGTGGCCATGCAGCCGAAATTGTATCACTATGCATCTTGGGGTGTTGGGGGCATTCTTTTTGGATTCTTTCTCCCTATCATTTTCTTCTTCTCTGAGAGGGATTCGAATGAAGATAAGGGGATCTTTGCCTTTTTTTTTTTTTTTTTTTTTTCTCTCTCTTTTCTTTGAAACCATTTTGTATAAATACAGTTCGTATAGCAGGCGTTAAGATCTCTGCTAACAGAACATTCCACCCTAGGTATCATATACTTGACATTTTCTTCTGATGTCTCTCACCCACCCATACCATGACGCCCAAGGCCTTCTTGCTCACTGTAATTAAAATAAGAAAAAAAGACAGATGAGATGCCCATCCTGATCCGTAAAAAGAATAAAAGCACAAC